TTCTTTACTAAAAATACAAAAAAATAGCCAGGCATGGTGGCAGGCACCTGTAATCCCAGCTACTCAAGAGACTGAGGCAGGATAATCTCTTGAACCCGAGAGGTGGAGGTTGCAGTGAGCCAAGATCGTGCCATTGCACTCCACCCTGGGAGACAGAGTGAGACTCCATTCCCCCCACCAAAAAAAAAAAAAATATATATATATATATATATGCGTGTATATATATACATATATATATATGCGTATATATATATATGTGTATATATATATATAAAAGACAGATACCGCAAAACAGAAGGAAAATATCTATCATATAAAGACAATTTTAAAAGGTTATGATCATTCCAAAAAGTAGAATTTCTACTGTTCCCATTCTCATGGACTTGCATTCTCATTTCTCATAGTCTGCCACACTTAACCACTATTTTCTAGTTAAACTCTTTGCTTTGTCTCATATAAGTTATATGCTCTGAAGCTCTTGACTTTGTCTATGTTGTTCCCTTTATCTCAAGTGTCCTTTGCCTTCTCCCAAACACACACACACACACACACACACACACACACACACACAGAACCTGTGGCCTTTGTCAGGCTCCAGTAGTACCTTACTATCGCTCCCATTGCACCTAACATTCTGCATCATAATCATTAATATTCTTATTACTCTTCCCCACTAGCCCATGGGTTCCTTGAGGGCAAGGCCGCCTTATTGTTGACCTCTAGATTCTGCATTATTTATCACCATGACTGGAGTAAAATAGAAGCTTAATGAATGGTTCTTTGAATATGGACAGTATTGAATAATAAACACAACTACAACTACCTTCATAGCTGTAAAACTGAGGGCTATTCTCAGTTATTGTCGTGACTTTGAGGGGCAGCTTGTTCGGGTGGAAAGCCTATAAGTTTCAGAGTCATCAGACTTAGGTTCAAACTCCCAACTCTGCCGTTCACATTCACAGGCTCAATGTCATAGGAATAATTACCTAATATCTTTGAGACCCTATTGGAACAAATGGTGATCATAAAGCATACCTTATAGGATTATTTTGAATATAGAAGAGAAAATGAACATAGGTAAAGAACATGGCACATAGTAGTGGCTCAATAAATAGTAGACATTTTTCTTGTTATTGCTAATTAGTAAGACTATTTCCATTATAATAAATATTAACACATTTTTTAAAAAATGATTCTTATATATTTTCCTTTGCATCATCAAGTCAATAAGACAAGGCCAATTTTACTATATACATTCTCATCCCTAGACAGAAATATTTCTTTTTTCTTTTAAGTAAGTCTGGAAAAGTATTTGATCTAATCACAATTTTAAAAAATACGAACTATATTTTTTTCCAAAGGTAACAGAAATAAGGTTCTCTGTAAAATAACACATGATCTAATTATCTGCTACCTGATTTTTTTTGTTTGCCTCATTAATTTTGCTGAAAGTATTTAGGGACCTGAAATTACTATAAATAAAAAATACCATAATCCCTGATGGCAGAAGCAAAGAACTTTTGGAACATGCTCTACTTTCCACTTCTAAAAATAGATTTACTTGGGCCACACTAAAGAAGCATGTGAAATCTGTCCTATTGTAAGTCAGATGTAAACTGGTGGTCCACTTGGCACAAGGGTATGCCCACACACATGCGAGTACACACGTACACACACCAAAAACCCTCTGAAACATGGCTTCTTCTATTCATCACATAGCTATGATTCATGTGTGCCTTCCATGAAGCTAGAAGGCACTTTGCATCCATCTGCCAACCAGATGAACACAAGAAAAGTCACAAAGACTACACAATTGAGGATGACACAAGTATTTGTTCAGAATGTATCTGCCAAGATCATTTTCCCTCTCCCGCTACCTCAAACTTTATCCCAAGCTGTTTTTAAGCTCCACATGCTATAGTTTTCCCTTCAAATGACAGCTCAGACAATCTCCCCCAGGATTTCACAATCCCAGGCCTCATTCCATGCAAACCTGCATGATTAAACATAGCATGCAAAAGGCCCTAGTACAATACTAGGCACCAAAACGTGCTCAATATGAAACTTGTCTCCTTACTACCTTCCCTTCCCCACCTCCTTTAGCATTTGCCAGATCACTCCACATGGACATTCCTTCCCCCACAGACTCAAAGTTGCTGCCCCAAGCAGAGATTCTCAGATGCGAAAAAGCACTGGGAGGTTCCCATTTTAGAGTCTTCTAGCATCCTAAAATATATATTTTAAAAAGCCAATACAGATTTTTAATAAAACATTTTTTTAAAAAGTGGAAAAAAAACAACTTTTACATTTAAACAGTGTTTTTAAATACAATATACTCTATAGTGATATTTACAAGGTAACTACAGGATTTGTTAAAAAGATGCCACAGACAAGAGTAGCCAAGGAATACAACAGGAGTTTAAACTACATGCTACGTGGCCTCTTCCAAATCTGTCAATTGCATTTCTGTCTGTGTGTACAATCTCATTTGGAAATGACATTTGAAATATAAATTTCAAGTTCTTTGAAATGTAAACTCTTCGTTTGAAGGCCTTACTCCCACTCACTCCTGTCCTTGTCATAATGCTTGCCTCCAAGCATCTCCTGCAAGGAAACCACAAGCAAGTAATGAAGAAAATAGCGTAAGGCTTGCCCTGAAAAAAGGTGGGAAAGAGAGGCTTAGAGGAGCCAAATGAGGCCACTGCATTGGGATCTACTTATGGAGGGAATTAGAGGAATTTCTTTCCACAGCCTCCTAGCAACTCATTCACTATTGTCAAGGAGGCCTTGACCCCCACTGGGATAAGCAGAGACCCATACCAGCCTCCCAGGAGGGTAAACTAGAACAGGATCTCTGACAATCAAGCCAATAAACTAGCAGGGTATGACTAGAATAATCCTCCCCAGACGGCTCTGGCAAAAGTAAGCTATTCCTCCTGCAGAGAGGCCTTATGAGTTTATAACTCTTAAACTGAGAGTGTTTTTCTGAAGTAATTACAAGGCACCAATGGACACTGAATGCTGGGTACTATTTTAAATGATGAACTATTTTAATTGCAAAAGAAATAAACAATAAGAGATTTAAAGTGATTACTATGATGACAGACCAAAAAAAAACAACAACACAGTAGTATATTTATGACTCAGAACTACAGGTTAAAGTATAACATTAAAAATACACCAGGGTATGATCTACCCACGCTATTGTGGAATTGTAGGGTTTACGATGTGATGTGATAGTTCTAGGCATTATTAAATTGTAGAAAATAATTATACATAAATCGTATGGAAAGAGGGCCCATGATGTGGCAGACAGCACGGGTTTGGCATTCTTCTCATCTTCTTACTTCTCCTTACTTCATTGCATTCTGGTTCCTGCCCTATCACTCCCTAGCCCCCAATTTCCCTCAAACTGCATTTGTCAACGATGAGAGCTCATTGGTGCTGAATCAATCTTGTCTTACTCCATCTCTCTCCATAGCATTTAACTCTGTGGACAACACTCTCCTTTCTGAAAGACTCTCATTCTTGGCTTCCTGGACATCATCTCTTAGATGGATGTCATTTGATCACCTTATTCACTCCTTCTCTGTCTGCCTGCAAATATTTCTTTATTTCTTCCTGGTTTCTTCAGTGTTGTTACTAAAGGTGCTACTGTCAGCTCTTTATTTTTTTTCCTTCTCAATGTATATTATCTTTCAGGTGATGTCATCCATTCAAATGACTTCAAGTGCTTTTTCCTTGTTAAAGGACTTCCTGATCCATATCTCCAAGCCAAACAATTATCCTTAGCTCCAGACCTCTAGAGCCAACTGCCTGTCAGACACCTGCATCAATGACTTATTACTGTAGGAAAACCTCGCCTTGAATAGTGGCTTCAATCAATGATAATTATGTATTTTATTTACGAATCTAGAGGTTGACTGGGTTCAGCAAAGCAGCCCTTCCTCAGGGTCTCTCATGCAATTGTGGTCAAACAGTAACGGGCTGAAATTACCTCAAAGTCTCCTTCATTCGAACGTCTGTCTCCTGGGCTGGGAAGATTTGACTGGCTGGAGGCTTGAACTCCAAACCATCTCTCTTTCATATAGGTATACAGCCACTCTACGCGGTGGCCTCAAAGTAGCCAGACTTCTTACATGACAAATGAAAGCTCAAGAAGAAAATATCAGCCCCTCATGTTCAGAACGGATCTGACATTTACAGCCAAGCCATGTCATTCTCTTCTTGGACATAAACAATCTTATAGAATACCAACCTCAGACAAAGTTACTATGAGACTAAGATAAAACAAAACCAAACAAGCCTACTTCATAATTTGTGTAAGGACAGACAAAACAAGGTCACTATGCCACCTACAAAGTATCCAACCCTAGAATTCTAGAAGCACTCCCATTTTCTGAGAGCACTTAATCTAGACCAAACCCCTGGTTCCTTCAACCTTCCCCCAAATCACCCAACCAAAGCCCAAATCTTGTAACAGGTTCTTTCTAACACCTTCTTACTGAGATATCCTATGGTTCCCCTTGGTGTATGTTCTCCTGCTACAATGAGCAGTAAATCCAATTTGTTTAGCTGCAGGTGTGTTCCTGGAAGGCTTTAGTTGAAGGACACTTATAGTTCCCAGGGCAAGTGTCTCCAGAGAAACCAACATGGGCTTTTGTAAACTAGCCTTGGACATCACACTGCTGCATTCTATTCATCAGATCTGTCATAAAGGCCCACTTAGGTTCCAGGGGAGGAGATACAGACATCACCTTTTGATGGAAATAGTATCAAAGAATTTTCAGACATGTTTTAAAACTATCGCAACATCTATATTCAGAGGTCCCACAGCCACTTAATAGTCATCAGTTCCAATACCGAACACATGATCCATTCTCCTGTTTTTGTACCTTTCCCTAGGATTCACTCGGCCTCATTTGTCCCCAGGACTTGGCCAGTTCCTCAGTGGAAAATCCAGGTCATCCTCACTACTTCTCACTCATCTCATCACTCACCAAGTTGGTCTTTTAGGGTAGTTGCACTTGAGCCACACATTTTCAGAACACACTGCAGGTGACTTATGGGTTTGAGCAGCAGCACCACCTGCATCTGTTCATGTGGTCCACAGGAAGCTTCCACAACTGCTACCTAAAAGCAATCAATGGTGGAGAAAACAGCTCAGGCTTGGTGCATAATTGGGCTAGTATAATTTATTGCCTCTAGCCAGAGATAGTCTGCTGTTGCATTTCATCCTCACATAAGGTGGCCCCAAAGAAGAGAGGTGAAGGGAAATCCTCCCGGTGGGCAAAACTACAAGCAACACACTTGGTTATCCACTTCATATGGAAGAAAGGATCAGATTCTTAAGTATGCACTCACTTCTAAGCAGTAGTGAATGGCTTGACCATTTGGACAGGACAAGAAAAAAAGAGACTTGAAGATCAGAGAAAATGTATGGGAAAAAGTATGTGGACAATCCTATGGTAATAAACACAAAGCAGACCTCATACTACTGTTCAACTGCAAAGGAGACTCTCAACAACCATGTGCTCAGGATGATCCTTCCTGCCTCTTAGCCAGGCCCTCTTTAGCCACCCCAGTTCTTGTACAGCAAAGCCCATAAACAGTGTCTCCAGCGCTGCAATGGTAGCTACGCATGGTCCAACAATATAAGTGCCCACTCACAAAAGATAACCCAGCTATTGCCAATGCTAAATTTCCAAACTGTCAGTCACGGAATCTGATGCCAAGACCTTGACTTAGTACCATTTCTCAAGGAGGCTGGCTACACAACCATCTATCAGAACCACCTGTCTTGGAGGGAATACCAATTTGTCCTTATGAGAATCAACACATATTCTGAGTATGGATTTACCTTTTCTTCCTGCAGTCCCTCTACCAGTACCACCATCAACGGCTCAACAGTACCTGGTCTATCAGTATGGTGCTCCTTGCAATCCAGACTAGGATCAAGATGACATTTCATAGCAAAGGAAGTGTACCATGGTGGTCATATATCATGGGAGTCACTGCTCTTATCATTTACTCTATACCCCAGAAACACCTAAAATGAAGGAATAGCCTGGTAAAGGCTCAGTTACGGCACCGGCTTGGGGAGAAAACCTTGTGGTGAGAAATTAACTTCATGATATGGAGTATATACAACACTAATAGCTGATACATGGTTCTCTGCCCAGTAGCTAAAATGCATAGGTCTAGGAACTAAAGAATAGAAATATGATTAAACCTGGTCATTAGAACTCCCAGTGAATGACCACAAAAATTTGTGCATTCTGTTCCTGAAAACTCAGGTTTTCTGGATTAAAGATCTTATTTCTTGGAGTAGAGTGACATTTCTACCAAGAAACAATTAATGTCCCCACTGACCTGGAAGCTGAAATTGCCAAAAGATTACTTTAAGTTCCTTAAGCCAGTGAGCCAGCAAGCAAAGAAAGGAATTGCTATTTGGCAGAGCCCATAGGCCATGATTTCCTTGAGGGAGCTAGGGTTACTATACAATAGGAACAAGAAAGACCATGTCTAAACCCCAGGAAAACCAACTGCTCTGTTCATACTTTTTGATTGAGGACTTGGGGAATATTCATGATTTCTGGAGGCATCTTAGTATTTCTGTGTCCAATGACCCTAACAAATGAGCAATTACAACAAATATGAGCCAAAAAATTTTTTAAAAAGAGAAGATAAATAAAACCTTTTCTTCCATTTTTGTTTTTTCTTTTTTTGTTGTTGTTTTTCATTTGTTTGTTTGTTTTTTTGAGATGGAGTCTCGCTCTGTCGCCCAGGCTAGAGTGCAGTGGCATTATCTCAGCTCACTGCAACCTCTGCCTCCTGGGTTCAAGCAGTTCTCCTGTCTCAGCCTTCCAAGTAGCTGGGATTATAGCCTGCCACCATGCCCAGATAATTTTGGTACTTTTAGTAGAGATGGGGTTTCACCATGTTGGCCAGGCTGGTCTCAAACTCCTGACCTCAGGTGGTCTGCCACTCAGCCTCCCAAAGTGCTGGGATTACAGGCGTGAGCCACCACACCCAGCCAATAAACTCTTTCAAACAAGGGTCTGGGTCACCTCACCAAGAGAACAATAGATAATTCAAACAATTTTACAAACAAAAACAAATAAATAAATAATAATAAAATGAAAACAAAAAAAAAAAGAAGAAAAAAAAACAATTTTATGCCACTGTGTGGATACCTCCTTATTTATTTAAAAAGTCTGTTATTTTTGAGCCTTTAACTTCTGCATCATTCAAAGTCCAAGTGGAAGACAAAAACTATGACAATTATCTGAACAGGGAAAATTTAATATTCCAAAACTTTACTACTAAAAAATTTACTACTAAAAGACTTAGAAAATATTCACGATGTCTGCTCACAAATGTCAAAGTTCTCCTCTAAGACACTAATTTCCAGGGATGTTGTGAGGGTCGGTAGGGGGCCCAGGCATCACGAATTTAAAAAGCAGCTATTATCTCTAGGCTAAGGAATAAGAACAGTAAAGATACTAAGGACTAGGAGAAGCCCTCCTTGCCCCAAGGCTGAGATTCAAACCTCTTCAGAGAGGTAGTAACTACCACAGGCAGCCTGCAGGAACAAACAAACTTGACTGAGTGCACAGGCTGGCACTGATCCATAAAAGCAATCTATCATCACTGGTGGATGTGGGTGGTTGGAAGCTGGTCTACAGGAGTGACCTTCCTTTGCTTGGTGCTGTGGGTGGGCCAGAGTTGGTCTATAGAAGAGGCCCACCATCGATGGAAGGTATGAACAGGCTGAAGCTGCCCTGAAATTGCTGCTGGTAGCGAAAGATGGCCTGCAGGTGCACCTGGAACCTCTACTGCATTGCAGAATCTCTCCAGTGCCCTCAATTGACAAAGTTGAATATCCCCCAAATCTGCAAAAGAGAAATGTCCATAGGGTCCAGCTCCAGTCACAAAAAACAAGACAAACAAGGGTGGATTTGGAGCTCAGAGACATAAACTGATATCTGCTACCTTGCAAGATTTTGTTGTTACAGATAAAATTATCAACATTCACAAAATTCTTTGCAGATACCTTATGATTATTTTCCTTAGGATAGATTCCAAGAGTAGAATTAACAAGACAAACAATATATATATTTAAAAATATTTGGGTATAAAATAATAAAATTTCTTTATAAATGTGCCAATTTATTTTCACCCCAGGGGAGTATGAATATATGAAGTCTAAGCACAATCTGCATGATTCTAGGAGGGTGATTTGCTAGAACAAATTCTCAGACACTGAGTGATCTTAGCTGACTGCTCAGTTTAGCCAACTTCCATTCTCTACTCATTTCCAATACAGTCTTTCTGTAAAGAGGTTTTAGTTCATTTGCTTATTAAAGTGGCTCTCAATGCAGGGATAAAACTAAAGTTCTAAGAGTCAGGAAAAGATATTTTTTAATCTGACATGAGAATATTCACAAGCAACATTTGATCCTTAAAATAAATATAATTCAAGAAAACCAACAGTCCACACTTTTGGATTGAGGACTTGGAAAATATTCATGATGTCCACTCACAAATGTCAAAGGTCTCCTATAAGACACTAACTTCCAGGGATGTTGTGAGGGTCAGTAATAACGTGTAAGGCACACAGGGAGAGTCAATAAATAGTAGCCTAATATCCTGAGAGCATTACTGTTAAATTGCTAAGAATCCAAGGATATATGTTTTTCATTTTATTAAAGTTGTTTTCAATATGGGTGTAAATATGCCCTGTACGGCCAAGCTAAGTCTGTGCACAATAAAGTGTTATTCCCTGATGACTAGTTTGTATTGTATTGTACCTCAAGAGGTATTTTCTATACATTTGTGCAATCAGCTATGAAAGTACGTAAGGAATAAGGGCAATTTACCATTTTAAAGAAATTAACTTCATAAGGGAATCCTTCTAAGTGGCTCACTTGGTTGCCTCGAAGACTGACATCAATCAGTCCCAATACAGTTAATGAAAAGTTCTTCGGCACAGTGGGGTGGTGCAAGTGTTTACACCAGGCATAGTAAACTCATTTTCAGCTAACTCAAACCATAAAGCAATAGTATTTGCAGGACTATTTAGGTGAAGAATCTCATTCTGAGGTTAATGTCTTTAAAATAATGAATTGCCCTTATTCTTTACATCCTTTCATAGCTAACCATGGCAAGTAAAGAAAATTCCTGGAGGTACAATGTAATTACTACACTGGTCAGATCTTTGGATCCTTGAAAGTCAATCTTTAGCCACTTATTAATCACCCCATGATAAATTCAATTGCACCAAATTTGGCCATTTTTTCTCCAGGTTTAAGAGATAAATACAAAATTTGGCACACATAGATGAAGTATCCAGGACCATGTCAAAATAATATAAATCTGGCTGGGCATGGTGGCTCATTCCTGTAATGCCAGCACTTTGGGAGGCTGAAGTGAGAGGATCACTTGAGTTCAGGAGTTCAAGATTAGCCTGGACAACATAGACATCATTGCCACAAAATATTTCTTTTTTTAATTAGCCAGGTGTGGTGGTACACACCTATAGCCCCAGCTACTTGGGATGCTGAGGTGAGAGGATCATTCGAGGCCAAGAAGTCAAGGTTTCAGTGAGCCATGACTGCACTACTGCACTCCAGTCTGAGCAACAGAGCCAGACCCTATCTTAATAATAATCTGATTTTTAAAATATAACCACATTTTATACTTTTGACATTTTTCTTTGCTTGATAATAATGGCCTTGAGCAAGTCACTTTGCTTTTTGGGTACTTAAAAATTTCTTAAGTTAAATTAGATCTGTAGTTTCCTACCTGGAGGATCAAATCCCTAAACACAGGTACAACTATTGCCTGTAGCCTAAAAAATAATGTACCTTTCCACGCATATGCTTTTGTTAAAAAAAAAAAAAGTTGAATTTTTATTTTTTCTGTTTAATATTAGTTAAATAGCATATTTTGTATTAAAAATATAAAATTATACATGCCAACTGTAGAAGATTAGAACATAAAGAGAAACCAAAATACAACCACCTGTAATCCTGCCACACAGATACAACTATGCACATTTCACCATTTATTCATTCAGTTTTCTTTTTATGCATATTTGCACCTAGATCATTTTAAACAAACTGGAATATACTGCACGCATAATATCTTGTGACTTGTTGTATGTGCTTTACAACACATTATAAACATCTTCCTAAATCATAAACTTCTTTTCTACAAGGTTTAAATGACATTTCTATATATGAAAGCATACTGCTAGTTTTGAATATTTGTTTCTAATATTTCATTATTTTAAATAATGCTGCTATGAACATCTGTAATATGATTAAATTTATATCATAACAAATTAAGATTTATTATTCTTAATGCTCATATTATTCCATTTCTGGACACTGGGAGCCTCTTCATGGTGGCTCCTGAACTCTTTTGATAAAATTACTATAGTCTTTCACAGTGTATCTGCTTTTCAGTATGACAAATGTTCCAGGCACTTTTTGTATGTGTTCTGCTCTGTATCTGAAAACATCCAATTCTCCAAGGAGCCCTCATTTTTTTAGTGGAAAATGGTATTTAGAGAGCACCATCTGGGCACTAGGGCTGTTTATTGCCATTGCTACTGGCTTGGTAATTGTTGTGAGTTCTCTTCAGGAGACTGAATTTGAAAATAGTTTTTTAAAAGAAAACACATTATGAGTTTACAGTGATGTTTCCAGTTTAAATTTAAGATAACATTTTTACTAATTTCTTTAATTTTATATTTTTCTTTTTCTCTAAAATCTTGGTCCCTAATGACATTAACATAATCATGTTTATATATTGTCCTAATATCTATACATCCATATGTTAACATAAACATGATTATGTTAACATATGTATTATATATAATAGTTTTAAAATAATAATACAAAAATTACTATTTATGATATAATTATTGAAAAATTTAGGATTGTTGCAGTTCTTTTTACCTTTATTTATATCTCACTAGGGATGCATAATCAAATCAGTATGTTTTAAAGTCACTTAAAATAATTTCTGTCTGTGTGGTTATGGTACCAACTCAACTCATAGTTAGGCTAATGTGTTTCTTTTGACTTCCTTTTTACAAATTTTTCCTTTTTTATTCTATTTTTTTCTTAATTATAGAAAATACTAATTTGGTTTTAAAGTCAAATGTACTAAAAAGAGATCCAGACAGCCGGGTACGGTGGCTCACACCTATAATCCTAGCACTTTGGGAGGCCAAGGCAGGTGTATCACTTGAGGCCAGGAGGCCAGCCTGGCCAACATGGTGAAACCTAGTCTCTACTGAAAATAGAAAAATTACCTGGGCATGGTGATGGGCACCTGTAATCCCCAGTAATTCCGGAGGCTGAGGCAAGAGAGTCACTTGAACCCAGGAGGCAGAGGTTGCAGTAAGCCAAGATCGAGCCACTGCACTCCAGCTTGGGCAATAAAATGAGACTTCATTTCAAAAAAAAAAAAAGATAAACCCCGAGAAGCCTCGCTCCTATCCCTGTCTTCACCATCCTCTTTTCTTTGTGCCTCTGGAGATCACACACAGACACACACACACACACACACACACACACACACACACACACACGGCCTCTTGGATAAATAGTAACCACTATTCACATTTTCTCTGCCTTGCTATTTCACTTAACAATGCTTCCTGGAGATTACCCCTGGCAGTGATCAGAAACAGATCTCATTC